AATAAGTTACTATAGAGAAATGTTTTTTCCACTGAAAACTTCCAGTAATTGATTGCAAGTGTTTACAGTAATTTTTCTTCTATAATTTTACTGAAATAGTGGTAATTGTCATTACTAATGGTAATATCACATAAATTGTACTTTCCAGACCTGGTATTTCCATTAGATGAAAAGAGGATTTGTTTTCCCAGCTGCAGAAGCTTTCCAGCACCTTTTTTTCAATTTCCCTTCATTCAGACTTCCAAGGCCCTAGAAGCCCTTTTTCCTTTATTAAGTACTTGGTCTTTCTTCAGCTGGACAATGAAAGCAGACTGATTGTGCTGCTTCCCATTTGTTGGTCCTACTGTTTTGAAGAAGTTACTGGTATGATGAAGTCCTGTGGTCCAAGTGCATTTTAAATTGGCTTCTAAAACAAACATTCAAGTAGACAGTGCATTAAAAAAAAAGCTGGGCTATCCCACTTAAAGCAAAACAAAAACCCCAAACCCTTACATGTATTTTATGCTTTTTATTATTTTCATTTCCATTAAATACATCTGGAGTTTCATTTTCCTTATGCTGCTTGTTCAGCAGCTCCACAACCTGCATGTTCTGGCATATGCCATCAACCCCCAGCTCACAGCATCCCCTAGATGTTTCTGATGCTCTGTTTGTCGGTGAATGGTGATAAGACCTCTCTCACCTGAAATTTTGAGTATCCGTGTGGTAGACATTACTTTTGAGTTAGTTGTCTAGCACTTATTTAAGTGACTGGAGAGAAACAGGGATTTCCAAATGCCTACCTTAGGATAAAAGAGATCACACTTCACAACTCTTCTGTCTGTTGTCTGTAAGTAGAGCCTAAAGAAATAGTTCAAATGTAAATTTTTCCCTTGTAGACTCTAAAAAGTAATGTGAGAGGGATCCTGTTTGCCGTGCTGTGGAGTAGCTGAGAGCAGGGAAGGTGAAATCTGTTTCATCTCTTGTCAGAAAAGCGACCTGTGTTGCTTCTGTTTTCTTTCCATCCTTGATTTCTGGCCAATTTTAATTTCCAAGTAAGAAGATGACTTCCAATTTCTGATGAGTTGGATGCGTGAGGGGCAGCAAGACTTCCTTATGCATTTGGGTTGATGGTCTTTTGCAGGTGTTTATCCTTCAGCTAGAAGGTGAGAAACATTGGCGACTCTATAAACCAACGGTGCATCTAGCTCGGGAGTATAATGTCGAATCAGAAGATAGGATTGGGAATCCCACACATGAATTCATATTAAAGGTATTATAATTGAATTGCTTTACGTGGTCTGGGCTATGGTTGCCAGAGAAGTAGTCATGTTTAAAATGATCCGTTTCCTGAAGACAGTATTCTGAGTGATCGTGGTTGTGAAATTGAGGGGAGGGTTGGCGCACAAAACACTGTGACCACAATTTAGGAGATAGTTGTCTAACCTATCCTTTTGAAAAAGGTATCCTTTGCTTTACTATTTAAATAATGGACCCAAAAACCAGTTATTTGTGGAAATCGGGCAGGTTGGGCACCCTGACTCCTGGAGCATGTTTGTGGAGTTGTGTGCAGAAAAAACATTGGGTTATGAAATATTTTTATGCTTTTACTTGCTGTCTGTGATCAGTCAGGCTAGTCCTTCTGTGCACTAAGGCTTACTGCTTTACTGAAGGTTGACACTGTTCTGGTGAATTAGATTTAAATATTTATCCTTGACTAATGAACAGAAGCATGAACTAAACCCCATGTTAACTTGCTGTATTAATTGTTTCTTCTTTTTCCAAACCTGAAAAGCAAGGTCTCTGCTCTTCCCGCTGTTCAGACCTGCCTTTGAGTGTAGGTAGTTTAGGAATAAACTGCCCACAATAAGCTATCAGATTGGATACGATACTGACATCGTTAGCTGTGTAGTTTGACAGATGGTAGTATTCAATTGTCATGATAGAATGGGTGATGCAAAGTCTAGTAAATTATAGTTCCCTTTTTAATTTCTGGAACATTTTGGGCCAGGCTTCAATGCCTTTGATTTTTATGGAATAATGATATATTCCACAAGCCATTTTACTGGCACTAATGAAGTGAAAATACCGGCCTCTGAAAAGGGTTTAAAAATTATCTAAGTTTTTAATTTATGTTTCTTTTGTTTGATATTCTTCACTTCCTGTGACCCATTTCTTCCGGGTGGCCGCTGTCAGATTTTGGTTGTCTGTCTGGAGCTGTCTCTGACAGGGATGCTGTCAGACGACTCTTATTTCCTCCCTAGACATCTCTCTAGAGTATTTCCTTTGTCCTTTTTTGCATTTCTGTCT